ACGTCCAATACAATTTCAGAATAAAAGCTCCATAACTTTATTGTCTTTGTCTGTGAAGAATTCACAACACGGAGGTTGTTCATTCTTTGCTCAGGTTAGATATTACTCCACATATCTTTACATGGCAAACTTAATTATTTTAATGTGACGCACCTTGTAGCTTTGCTCATAAATAAATCCTTACTCGTTTACACTGTGTAAACCTACAAGGACATTTTATGGACAATGTCTATCACATTGATCAATTTGCTAACTGTAATGCAACTTTTGTCATTTACAGACTTGTAGTCAGGTGACATTTCCTCTGGAAAATAATACATTTGATACTTGACTTGTTTCTTTACAGGGTTTGTATAAATAAAGTAGTCCATGAATATGAGATATGAGTTTACAGATAATTACGTATAATCCCTCCTCGTCATCGGTGAGCTCGAGCTGAACGAGAGGTCTAATGAGAGGAATTAAAAACACCTGTGAAGGTGTGCAGGGCTTTTAAAGGCTGATCATTGACGTAATCTCTCACCCTTTGAGGTTGTTTTTAGGACATGAATTAGGCTCTGAAGGGTGTGATAAACGTACTTGTTGTTTTCTTCACTATTATTTCATTGACAGAGTTAATAAAAACTATGTTTGTTCTTTGTTATCAGCTGGAACACTTCTGTCATTGCCCTCGTTGGTTTCCCATTGTGCACAACAACACACACCCTGAGCAGGGACTTCCTATCTCCCCTGGGGATACCTCACAATCCAAACATCTCTCTCTCTGTCTCTCACACACACACACACACACACACACTCACACACACACGCACACACACACAGGTTCCTGGTTTCCCCTCCTTCACCTGAACAGGGAATTTACCTGCATCGTCTCGTTTAGGCAGCTGCTCATCTGATCGGACTGCAGAAGGAAAGCGAGTGAAACTTTCAGCTCCCGCCGTCTCTCTGTAACTCTGAAGGAGAAGATGGCTGACACAAACTTCGGTCAGTTGAGAACACTAAAACATCACCTGGAGACGTTTTTAGCCAAATGCCACGAGCTGAAATCTAAAGCACATCCACAACACTGATGTCCTTTGTAAATGTTTCTTATATAAAACACTGTGACTGGGGAAATCCTTTGCTTCTGTCCATCTGAGTTGAGCAGGTGTGACCAGCAGGTGAGGAAAACAAAGAGAAGCTGGAAACTCCTACTTCCTCTTTGAAGTACAAACAACACAACTAAAATCATTTTCTTTTTGAAGTGACCTCATTAAGCGGGTTTTACAAGGTGTGCTGGATTTAATTGTTCATATAACCAACAGGCACACACACACACGCACACACACACTTACACACATGCACACACACAGCAGTGGTGCAAAACCTATACTATACTAATACTATTACTTGAGTATTTCCATTTTGTGTTATTTATGCTTCTACTCCACATGGATGGATTACTGAACTACAAAGAGTCACAAAAAACTACAAAGAGTCACAAAAAACTACAAAGAGACACAAAACAACTACAAAGAGACACAAAAAACTACAAAGAGACACAAAACAACTACAAAGAGACACAAAGAAACTACGAGATGCAAAATGAAGAGAACTAAACAACTGCAAAGAGATGCAAATTATCACAAAAAGACACAAAAAAATCCATTTGTCTGCACTACATTTACTTTAAACTATAGTTACTTACTTTACAGATTGAGATAGTTAATATAAAATGTAATTAACAACAGATTCCAATGTGTTATTACAGCTGCAACACTAATGCATCAATACTCCCATAACATAATAAACAGAACATTCTGAAATGTGTCATTCTACAAAATGAGTACTTTGATGCTAATACCTTTGTACTTTTACTTCATAATCTAATATGAGTACTTCTTCCACCACTGCACACAGTACACACTGTACACACAGTACACACAGTACACGTGTACTGTAGAGTGACGCACACACTTAATTTCCTTTCATGTATGTAAACATATAACTGCTGGTTCTGAAAATTGGTGTAAGCATGTGTGTATGCTGCTCATTGATGCACACACACACACACACACACACACACACACACACACACACACACACACACAC